TCAGTAAAGCGTTTTAAGGCCAGCTAGTGAAAACAGTCGCCTGCAAAGACGAATTGCGTTGGGGGGTCGGTTGATCGACTGAGTGTCTGACAGCCACGGCTCTTTCATCTGGCCTGACGCTTAGTTAACGCTTCGCAAGTGGTTGGGTCGACAAGAAGGTTCCCCCAAATCACAAGTCAGATAAGACAACGTTGGTAGGAACAGCTTTACGGCAAGGAGATTAGCTGTAAAAAGGCTGCGTGACGAGCCAGCTGCCAGCCATGTCTACACGTCAGTTGTGTCCGTGAAGTTGTGGGTTGTTGTGTAGCTTTGCCTGCGCGATGAGTACTCTGCCGTGCGCAGCCAATCAGATGAAGCGTGACTATCGATTTAATTGGAGCTTATACGCTTATCCAGCAGCCAGTAGCTCGATAGCATGACAAAAGCTGGTAGCGCGCGGAGGGCATAATTACGCGTGGGAGAAAGGCCTGGCAGAGCGAAGGCGGGATGAGTCAGACACAGTTGCGCTGGGCGGCAGACTCCTACAAACGCCTTGGTCCAAGATAACGATCGCGCCAGTAGCTGCAGCAGAAAAAGTAGATCTGGCCTCACAGCAACACTGAGTCACCCAACTTGGTTGCGCCTAATCTAAATGCTTTCTCTCTGTCTCTGACCTCAAATGCACCAGAGTGGAACGCATCGGGAGTATCTCACCCGATCACACTCGACAGGGTGCAACCCCCTAGCTCAGGTCGAAGAGCATTCGAGTCGCAATGTCCACTTTTATAGCCCAGTTTGTTCCGACCCGACTAGTAGGGAGAAGAAAGCAAGAGAGCGCTTCTGATTGCAATGGCTTTATTCACCAGCATACAGAGGCGGTGGGGCTTGCCGGGGTCCTTTAGCTTGTCCACTCCGGCATATTTATACGGTTCTGGTCTTTCTAGAATATTTCTGGCGTTTCATGTTCGCCTCAGCATTCTAGGACCATCTCGACTACGAACACTGCCCCAGCTATGTGGGTGGTCGTCTTGATTGCTCGACGCACGGCATGGGCGGCTTGACTGCGGCCAGGACTGGTCAGTCCTTTTCGCCGACTGCCGTGAATGCATGGGGGTCCCACCTCCGTAACATTCACTCGACTGAAGTTCAAACACCGACTACGCAATTCGATATGGACGACAGTTTTCTGATGGGAGGCCCATTTACGCACTCCGTGCATCCTACAGAATGTCAAGTGTCGGAAGTGGACGGTATTCCGGCTGAAATCTACAAGTCCTGTGTCGACACTCTGGCTGCATGAGATTAGTAGAGAGACGAGGCCATTCCAGAGGACTAAGACTCAGGTATCCTTGTACCTGTCTACAAGAAGAGAGATAAAACCAAATGCGAGAACTACCGCGGCGTAAGCCTTATCAACGTTGCTGCGACGAGCTTCGCTATTTTTCGCTTCAGGCGATTCCAGTCTGTGCGCGACTTTAGGACGCGGCCCAACCAAGCCGGATTCCGCTCTGGGCATAGATGTGCGGACCAGATATTCACACTGAATTCTGTCATAGCTACCAACAACCAACGCTCGCCCGCTTCATCGACTTTGGCGCTACTTTTGATTCCATCCATCGTACATCCCTATGGCAGATAATGCCACTAGATGGGGTACCACCAAAAATCATCGTCATGATCAAGGCATGCTACTGTTCTACCACTGCACGGGTTCTGGTCTATAATAACTCTTCAGAACTGTTTGCTATTTGGTCTGGCGTTCGACAAGGCTGTGTCCTGTCGCCCATTCTATTCAACGACGTAATTGACTGGATTTTTAGGGAGGTCCTACGTGAAGAAGACAGTGTTCAGCTTGCACCCGGACGCAGCTGACTTATCTCGACTAAGCCGGTGATATCGTTTTACCAGGTTGAAGCTTTGGCGATCTACTGTCTGTAGTATCATAGGTGAATGAGATCGCTGCGTCGGTTGGCATGTCCATAAATTCCGGAAAGACGAAGTTATTCTCGAGTTGC